TCTCTTGAAGATCGTGAAAAAACATCAACCCCAGTATTTCTCCATGCCGAAGAGCTCATTCCTCTTATACTACTACTAGCTCTGTGTATGTCTGTACCCTCCATTTATGAAGAATTTCAGTAACAAAAGCTTAAAAACAATGTCGCAGATCTTTTACTCTCTTTGAGTTAAAGAGCAAAGAATATGGTGGTCTTGAAGCGCAATCTTGTGATTAATTTGCCTTCTTTGTTGCAAAGCTAATTTTGGAGTTGGCAAAATCTGGTTGATATGTGAGCCTATAAATAACCTTCCATCAGTGTGGTCCACTTATACGTTAAATAATAAATTAATTATGAACAGTATTTTGATTTAATATTTTTTATAAAAAAATACAAAAATAAAACAGCAATATTTTTTAAAATTTTTTTTATTAATTTAGCGTATGAATGGATATATACAAGAAATATCCTAAATATAGATATAATAGCTCATTTTAAAAATAGAAAGTACAGTAGACATCGAGGAATGAATAAAATCATGTGTCCAATCAATAGAAAACACTTTTTTTTGCTCGTAACTATTAATATGGAGATGTAGATATTGACAAAAATATATCAGTGAATGTAGTATTTAGCTACACAAATTTAATGTTACACTAAAATTACTAATTCATTCTAAAATAACTGGTACCGACTAGTAGTTAGATAAAAACTAATAAAAAAACACTTTTTTTTTCTTTAAGAATTCATTAGTGATTTCAATAAAAATATATTTATTTATTAAAAATATTTATTCACCAAAACAAACACATTATTTAGTGGGTTTAGTGTATAAATATTTCAACACAATTATAATTATTAAGAAAAAAAATTAATGACCTTTAATCTAAATATGGTATTTTTATTCAATAATTAATTACTACTACAATTTTAAAAGAGAATATTATTGTGAAATTCGGATATATTTTGAGTTCAACATTTTGAGTGTTTTCCCTTTTTTTTTTTTACTTTGTATTTTCACTGTTTATTAATAAATTTTATTCACCTATGTCCATTACATAAAATTATGCTGAATCACGAAAAATTTTTGTATTTTTTTTTTTTTATTTTGTTGTCTCATTATTTTTCCTTTATCTCAAATAGATATCTCATTATTTTTATAAGACTTTTGCTTTAAGCAATCAGCGAATTAAGAGACTCGTATTAATCGAGGCCATCGGTTCTTTATTTAATTAAAAGACTCATATAAATCATCAATTTTTTATCCATGATGTATTTTTTTCAGAAGCTAATAATAATCAGTAACATCTTTGTAGTTAAAAAAAAAAAAAAATAGACATCTCATTTTCGACATATATAACAAGATCAGCTCATTGCAATACAAAAAGCGGCCGACCTTTTACAAGTCAAATTTTTACATTCTTTAATGTAAAGATTATATTTTCTGTGAAGAGACCATGAGGAGAATGTTCGAGGATTAAACATAAATTGTTTTTTTTTTTTTTTTTTTTGATTGACTAGAACCAAGAAAATCCTATATTATAAACAAATTCTCTGTGTTCTCTTTTTTAACTATGAAAATTCCTTTCTATTTGGATTATTTAATCTTTAAAACTTAACTTAATTCCCAAGTCAGATCTTCACCAAAAAAATATTAATTGAGAATCATTTACCAAGAAGAATTAGTTTCAAACTACAGTATAAGGGAAAATATTCGTTTACTAATATAATTTTTAAACTTTTAACTCATATACTATTCTTTTCGATCTTTGTACTCGTTGGTTTCGCTCGTTGTAAATAAATAGAATCTAATTTATATATAATTTTTTGTATAAATTATAATGATATGAGCAGTTTATATAACTAAAAATATAAGAAAATTTACAAAATAAAAAAAAAGACATTTTATGAAATAATAAAAATAAAAATTCAATAATTAAATAACTTGTTACTTGTTAGGGAAAGAACATATTTAATTATAATAATAAAACATCATCACAATTAGCCTTAATTTTCATATACAATATAATATTATAAACTGCCTATATTACTAAATTATGAGAAACTAGTATTAGTTATTATAATAATTAAATATATTAATCATTGTTTTAGAGGTAGTTTATAATTTCGATTTTTTTTGAACTTTTTGCTAAAATCTATGCATTTAATTAATTATGGTTGCTTTTTTTAGAAAAAAAATTAGTTACACAATAATACTATCTAATGATTTATTTAGACAATTATCTAAATGATAAATAATATCTTTATATTATCAACTAATATATAGGCCTATAAGCAAAAATACTCCAAATTTTGCAATTTGTTGCAATTATATCCTATTTTTAACTTTTGGTAAGTATTATACCCTAAAAATGAAAACCTAAAAACTAATTGCACTCCATAATTAAAATTGAAAAATAAAAGGTGCAATTGCAATAATGCAACGTTTAGGGTCTTTCTCACTCCAAAATGATTAATTGCACCCTATAATTAAAAATAGAGTCTAATTGCAACACCATGCAAATTTCATTATATTTTTACAATCTAAAATAATTAATCAATTTATAATTTTTTACACTCTTGTTGAAAATCAATATTTGTTACGATAATTATCCAATTGTTATAGTATAAATATTTAGAAATGAAATTACATTTCATTGTATTTTTCAGTTCATAATTAATTTAGAGACATTAGAAGCACCAATACTTTAATTGATAAGGATTTAATTTTCATATGTGAATTAAATTTGCATTATTATTATTTTTATCGTGCGCCTAAACTTGTAAATTTTGTTAATAATACATATATTTCGACACTAATATCAATAATTTTTAGGATTTCTGACTTTTATTTATAGAATATCGACTTGATATGTAGTTAGTATGAATTTTTGAATAATAATTTTTAAAATTTGTAACCTTTTAATGAATGTTTAATTGATCTAATTTTATAAGTTGAAGTGTTCAATAAATTAATTTTAAAAATTAAAGCGTTCAATTAATTTTATAAGTTGAAGTGTTCAATAAATTAATTTTAAAAATTAAAGCGTTCAATAATAAGTGATATAAGTTGAAGTGTTTAATGAGTCAAAGTAAAAATTAAACGTGCCACAAGATTAAAATAACAAAATTTACGGGTAAATTTATATAGTCGACTTGAATAATAATATATGGTACATTTTACTAGAAGGTATGCGCGTTTACTGATCACCATCTAGAAAGACAATAACTTAGTGTAATAATAATGCATAGGTTTCTTGTGCACAAAGGTTACACTTTGTATATTATAATCATACTGTACATTGTATTAGTACATTACTAATCACCATCTAGAAAGACGTTTTTTTTTTCTTTTCTTTTCTTTTTTTTTTTTTTTTTTTTTTTTTTTTTTGTTAATTTTTTTTTTTTTTTTTTTTTTTGTTAATCAATATTAGTGAGTCACCAAAGTCTATTTTGTTAGTTGGCGAAAACTCAAAACAACCCATAGGAGAAAAATATGGAGTTTGCAAATTTTTTTTTCCTTGTGTTTGAATGTCTTTAGCAATTTAAAGAATCAAAGTAGTTTGCTAGTGAGAGAGACAGAATCACCTTCAATGAAATTTCATTTCCTTTTCTTATTTTCTTTATAATGTCATAATATTATAATGGCATATTTTTCCAAAAAAACAAATGTATATGGTAATACTTTTAGGATACTTCTATTGAATTCACATATAATATTTAGAAAAAAAAATAGAATAAGATCCTTCTTATTATTATTATTATTATTATTATTATTATTATTATTGTTATTGACTGAAGAAGCTTCAATTTGACTGTGTGTTTTGATTAGGTTGTCCCAACATATAATCATGAGACCTTATTGTGTTTTGAAGAAACTTTCCATTGATGCTTTTTAAATAAATTTAAATATTTATTATTATCATAGATTGGAAAACACTAACCGTTACTTACTCCGTTTCATTTTAATATTAACATTTTATCTTTTTACAAGGATTAAGAAAATGATTGAAACACATTGATTTTCTAAAAATATATGGTAGAATATCTAAATTGACCTTCTTAAAATTAAAAGCTCATCATCTAATTTTGTTAGAAAACGCATAATAATAAATAAGGGTAAAATTAAAAAAAAATTAATTAATATATTCTCAAAATCCTAAATGATTACTTAAATGGAACAAAATAAAATATCGATTTATTACTATTAAAGTGGAATCGAGGAAGTATTATTTTTAAATATTTAAAATTGGAAAATACATTTATGCCTCCGTTTGATCTGACTTAAGCTTTGCTATTTAGAATCACTCTAGTTTGAAATTCTCCACCTGCCAATCATACTTAAATGCATTGGAAATATTTTATTTTCCGATTTTTCTGATATCCATTTGAATTTTAATAATGACGGTTACAAATCGATACTGAAATAAACAAACTTTTTTCATAACGTTTGAAATGCTCTGCTCTACCTACAACCTTCCTTAACTGTATTTGCATAGCCATAATTAATATTCATTATTAAGAAAGTAAAAAAATTTTCTGAAATACATTTGAAATTCTTCATTTTCCAATTTTCATAAAATCCATAATAATGATAGTTACATGTTCAATACTACAAATTCGGAAACTTTTTCAATGCAATCCATCTCATTTATTGTCCACTTTGGAATTATGTTTTTAAAACAACATGATACACCGTTTTTTTATACATCCGATAAAATATTATTTCGACAAATATATATTACCTGCATGGAATTATTATAAAATATTATTTCGACAAATATATATTACCTGCATGGAATTATTATGTTTTTTAAAAAATACCATTATATTATACATTCAATAAAATATTATTTCGACAAATATATATTACCTGCATGGAATTATTATGTTTTTTAAAAAATACCATTATATTATACATTCAATAAAATATTATTTCGACAAATATATATTACATATCTGCACCAAGCTTGGAAAACCGCTTAATATAACCTAAACATTGAATCATACAATATTCATTCATTAGTTTAATGATAATACATCAAATTTGCATTACAACATTAATATCATAAGGTCCATAATCTGAAATTAATTCAATTAATATACAAATAGATTATCATCCATAGCTATCTTAGAATACAAATAAAAGCAGTAGGAAAAAAAAAATAATAACAACAACAATGATTCTAACGCCTTTGGAAATTGAAGGCCTTAATGGAAAGACCAAATATAAATGCAAAACCCACTGTAAGAGCAAGAACCACAGCTGCAACTACTGGCACAAAATCATGTTTATAACCATAATATTCTCTCACAAATTCTCCAACTGTTTGATCACCGTCAAGTATATCCTTAATGTCTCCAAATTGGGATCCGATAATTCCATATAAGGTCCATGCTATTGGATTGGCCCAATAGTACCACCTCCACCACACAGGAATCCTCTGTAAATACATAGCAAAATTAGTTTAGGAGTGACATTCGGTCGATTTGGTTATCCGATGAACCAAAATGTTTGAGATGTACATCGAACCGAACTAAATAGAGTAAAGAATCAAATCAAACCAAGTCGGTTTTAGTTATTTTTAGGCAGATTTAGGCTTAATAAGACCAAAGAACTGAAAGGATCACTTTTTCTTTTTTTTCTATTTAAAAGGCTAAACTAAAAAGAGAAAAAATCCATGTTGTTTTTGGTTGAAAGTTAACCTTAATCCAACATAAAAACAGTATGAATGAAGGGAAGAAACACTTACAGTTCTGGGAACGATAAATCCGGCAAAAAGATTCCACAAGCCATAAAATGCTGAAGAAACTATGGCTGCAATGTGGTGGTTTGGTGTCACAGCAACAGCCATCATTCCGTAGAAGGTGAAGTACAACAATGTTAGGTACATGAAATACATGTACCACAAGAACTTAGCAACAGTCCAATGAAAACCAATCATTGCATATGTTATAAGACCATACACAATAGCTTGACAAAAAATATATGGAATCTCAATCATGACCTGAAAAAGGCAAACATAAATATGCTAATTAAAATAGGACGTGTGAACATATAGATATACAACAATGACAACGACAACAATCAAGCCTTAGTTCCATACTAGTTGAAGTCGGCTACATGAATCGTATGTTTCAAATATCCATTCAAATTAAACTAGTATCAATGTAAAACAAATTATATTGAATTCAGCATTAATTACCTGTGCCAAGGCATAGGGCATAGCCGAATACATTCCGGCGGCTCTCTCTCTATAGAAGACAGTTCTTTCAATTGCAACTACAGGTTGCACGGCACCTGAATTCTGCACACCAAGGAAGAGAGTTGCAGCATACAATGAACCCATAGCATTGAAAAGATCTTGTTGCTTTGTCCTGCATTTGAAGAAATGGAAATCACATTAGACAGGAATATGTTATTTTAGTGTAAAGTGTTAAATTGTTTTAGTAGTAATGTGCAGCTTACGATTTGGAGCCAAGATTCCAGAACAATGTCCCGAACATCAAAGCTATAAAGGTAGTAAACAGAAATCTGACGGCAGTATATGGCGGATTCCGCCAGTATGACCAACGTTGCTTCCAGAAGCAAGCTATACACTGAGTTAAGAATGAAGTTGCATATTGTGTAGGGAAATACAGGTCTTTGGAACCAGGAGCAGGTACACTTAATTCCTTTATCATTGCTTTATTTCTCCTGAAATATGAACAAGATTTATCAGTAAAACATTGAAGAAAAATTTGTGTGCTTCATGCATGTACTCGCTGAACAATTGCTCAATTTAACCTATTAGACTCTATTTAGTAATGAGTCTGAGACTATTTTTCCAGAAAGGTATCATTACTGTATGTTGGAGAAAAGAACCTTTTTTGAAGTATTTTTCAGAATACCAACTACATCTTCGAAACAAAAATAAAACCAAACACATCCTTGATACAATACAAACATACCTGTACACTTCTGAATTCCTGTAAATGGAAGCAAAGTCAACGTCCATGGCTAACTCTTGAGCAGGACCGGTAACTTCAAGCATCCAGGTTGCTGGATTATAACCATCAGTAATCTTTCTGACTCCTTCAATTCCCTAATTAAGTAAAAAAGCAACGGATGGTTACTGATAAGCAAGAATTTCATATAAATAAAGGACCTTCATATATATATATATATATATATTTGTCAAATGCACCTCAAAATATTTAATTAGATGGCAGGAATGGCGACCCAATGGCCATATATATATATATATATATTTGTCAAATGCACCTCAAAATATTTAATTAGATGGCAGGAATGGCGACCCAATGGCCCCACATAAATTTCTTCTCCTCCTCTCTTCATCAGGAATAGCTGCAATATCACTTTGAATGCATTAGATTGACATTGTAGTAAAGAGGCCAAAATAAAGCACTATATTTAGTAATTTTTTTAAATATTCTTGCCTCATCAAAAGCTTCAAATATATCAATACTTGGCTGATGGATTGTGCATACAACAGTTCTTCCAGTATCCACAGTATTCCTAACTGTTCTCATAACAATTGCAGCAGCTCTTGCATCTAGCCCTGAAGTTGGCTCATCCATAAATATTATAGAGGGGTTTGCTACTAGCTCAACTGCTATTGTTAACCGCTTTCGCTGCTCTGTTGAAAGACCATTCACGCCAGGCAATCCAACCAATGCATTTCTTATTGGATTCAGTTCCACAAGATCCATGACTTCCTCAACGAACATCTGCAGCAAAAAAAAAAAAAAAAGAAAAAAAAAAAAAAAGGTATAAGAAATACATTTATGTTGTAACATAGTGTTGCCGTGAAATTACAAAAAATAATAAACATGTAAAGAATGTACATAAAGGCGTACCGTTCTGGTTTTCTTGTCAAACTCAAGGGGTAGACGAAGCCAAAGCTGAGTAGGACTATAGATGCATGAACAGTAACATGTTGGAATGGAATATCGATATTTTCTCACAATACCTGAAAATTCTAGCAAAAGTTGTCTTGCTTTTTGGGAAAAAAAAAAAAAAAAAGGTATAGAAATACATTTAGTTGTACATAGTTTGGTGAAATTCAAAATAATAAACATGTAAAGAATACAAAAGGCTACCGTTCTGGTTTCTTTGTCAACTTCAGGGGGTAGACGAAGCCAAGCTGAGTAGACTATAGATTCATGGACAGTAACATGTGGAGAATGGATATCATTTTGCTCACAATATCCTGAAATTCTAGCAAAAGTTTCTTGCTTCTTTGGGTATCCAGAAATGGTGATGCTGCCTTCAATATATCCACCAGTTTTCCTACCAGCCAGCACATCCATAAGAGTAGTTTTGCCAGCACCACTGACACCCATTAAAGCTGTAAGAACGCCTGGCCTAAAAGCACCACTTACACCCTTCAGTAGCACCAATTTGTCTTCAAGGACACCCTGACTTTTCATTTCCTATAAAATTCAATTTAAAAAGATAAGAGTTCAGTGACTGTCATTCTTGTTACCATTTCACATTTAATATACTTATGTCTGTGGTACCTGTGGCATGTCAACTGAGTAAATAATATCATCAAAGGTGATGGAATGCGGTGCAAATGGAAGAACCATTCCTTTCTTCTTGATATGGTTCACCTCACTATTTTCATCTGCACCATCTGCAGTTAAATTGACATTAAACTGCTACTTAATATATGTTCAACAGTTTTCAAGCTCAAATATGCATTATTGTGGAGCGTTGTTACCTATGCTTGATTTATGACTACTTCCATAGTTTGTTAACTGAATGGATCCTCTAGTTTGATTGCCAGATTCATTAGTTTCAGAATCTTCAGATATAACAGCCTGAGGCTTCTCAAATGCTGCATAACATCAAAAGTTCATCAATACCATTAGTTCACAATCTTAAAACCATGAAATGATTGAGATGGTAACAATACTTACGGTCAAGATATGTGAGAGCTACAGTGAACAAGAAATTGAATAGTAGCATAAATCCAACACATGCTCCAAATCCTAACCAATACCAATATGCATGCGGGAAGAAACCGCGAGCTTCCAATAGTTGAATTCCCAGTGGTTTTGTTGTGCCTGCTGGAATCTGTAATTTGTGAAATGAAGTCAAATATCGTTTGGTGATTAATGAGAGGAAAACACACAAATATAAAAATAAAGAGTTTAAGAAATATTACATGACTCCAGCTATGTCCCAGAAACTCATTGACTACAATTGCATTCTGTCCATACATCAATGGAGATACCCAGTAACCCCATATCCACCATTTCTTTATGTCATCTGAGGAAATATACAAAGGAAAGGAAAAACAAATTTATGCAAGTTCAGTTTTTCTCTGAGAAATATTAGACTGCAACTTGCCAGCAATTATACCTTTTGATAGGATAAAGCCACCCAATGCAAAAAGTGCAAGTAGTGCAAAAGATCCAAATGTGTTAGCAACAATCATATTCCTTCCAGTTGCAGCAATAAATCGGAAAAGCCCGGAAGCCATCTGATTAACAATTATGAGGACAAGATACTGCTTGAAAAACCTGCAAATATCAGAGCAAATTGTTGACAATATTCTACCTATTCATCATAGCGTTTTTCTCATTTTCTTTTTCTTGCTTACCTTCCTACATTAGGATCAAATCCAATGACATAGTAGGTGAGGACAATCCAAACTGCAACTTCTACAAATGTGATTGGAATTTTAAGAATCCAAGTGGGAAGAGAATATGCCCATGCTGGATAAAATAACAGGTTCCTTTGCTTGTAAAACACTGGAAGCTTTGCGATGGTCATGGCTAGCTCTGACATGCCGTTGAACATGATCAGAATTGTAGCGAAGAACAAAGCACCTAAATAAATTCCTCCGTCATCAACAGTATCTCGGTGCATCTTTGTCCTTAGGAAGAGTGTCATAGTGACGAGTGCCATTATAATAAGCTAGACACAAAAACAAGAATTAAAAAGCATAAAATATAATAGCATACACAAAAGTTTTAAACAAATAAAAAATATCAGGAAAATTGTAAATTCTATAGATCATTACTTGGGTGAGCTTGAATATGTATACAAATGAGTTTCTCTTCATGAGCAAGTACTCTCTTGAGATGCAAGCTTTAAGCAGCTCCATCTTTCCAACTCCATAGCGTTTGGTTGTTAAAGCAGCAGGATGGCTCTTAGTCGTGTCAAATGGAGTTGAAAGTTCATCTCCAATTTTTCTTCCCACCTCATATGATTGAAATGCTTCAGAAAATTCCTGAGCTGTGATAAACCTATAAGGCTGGTCTCTACGTGCCCAATACTGCTGTTGATCTTTCTTTGATGTCACCTGCAATTTATTCATTATTCATAAATATTATGAATCTTCACACACGAAAAAAAAAAACATATTATGAAATGAGATTTACAAAATGAAGTCATTACTTCCTGTAAGAAGTCAGCCACGCCCTTTCTTTCAGGACACTTGAAGCCCATATATTCAAAAAAGCCAAGTACTTGTTCACGAGGACCTTGGTAAACGATCTGGCCATCCGACAAGAGAATGATATCATCAAATAGGTCATAAGTTTCTGGAGCTGGCTGAAGGAGGGAGATGAGAGCAGTTCCATTAAGAATGTGAATGGATTGCCTTAGTGAGTTCACAATTTGGTAAGTTGTTGAGCTGTCCAATCCGGTGGAGATCTCATCCATAAAAAGCGCCTTTGCCGGTCCAACCAGCATTTCACCTTCAATTTCATTATTTGAAATTTGTCTCATACACAGTTGAAAAGGAAAATATAAACTTGATGGTAATTAGGTGTTAGAGAATAGAATATTGTTTTACCTGTAGTAACACGCTTTCTTTGTCCTCCAGATATACCCCTTATCATTTCATCTCCTACCAAAGTATCTGCACAGACTTCCAAACCTAATATCTGCAAATTTCCAAGAAAATGACATCATAAAAAAATAAAATAAAATGAAGGGACATCAGATTAGCAGTTTGAGAGGATTTTTCATAACCCTAAAAGTATTTTGTGATAATAATACCTTTAGAAAATAATCTGTTATCACACTAGTCTCTTGACCTTCTGTTGCTGCAGCCTGTGAGTACCAAAAATTGTCAATAAAATTTTAAAAATTGATTTGCTTCAATGCAATTCAAGTTTATGATTAAGAAATTCATAAAATTATTAATTGATATTGGCAGGAATGTACATAAAAGTACAGTGAATATGATATGTTTGTTATCATTAATTAATCCTTTTCACTCACCTTCATAAAAACATCAATATCAGGATCAGGCTTAATATTTGCTGCCTTCTCTCTTCTAGACAACTCTGCTAACAAATCTGCAAAATTGTACAAAATTGTACATAATTATGAATCTAGTAATGCCTCTCTTTCCATACACACTCAAATTTATGTAGAAAATAATAGGGAAAAAGATGAATCTAAAATCTCACCATGCTGGGTTCCAACCCCTTGGCATCTGGCAGAGAATGCCAAAGTTTCCCTTACAGTCATTTCTCCTATATGTTCATCATGTTGACTGATATAGGCAGCTGTTCTTTGTGGGATAAATTCATTCATTCCATGACCATTATAAGTCACCGTACCAGAGAACTGCAAGAAACATTCATCAGCAAAAGCTAAAGAGAAATAACCAAAGAGAAAAGAGGGAAAAACAAAAGAAAGGTAATGAAGTAAAAGCAATATATCACACCTTTAGATTAGGATCAAGTTTTCCAGCTAGTGCCAATAAAAGTGTGGTCTTTCCAGAACTTGGAGGACCCAAAAGCAAAGCCATTCTGCAATACATTTCAAAAAAATTACGAAGGGATGGAAAAGATATGCTTCAAATTAGCAAAATAAAGAAATCATATTTTTCAAATCACTCTAGTCTCACCTTGATGGCTTGATGATTCCACTAACATCCTTAAGGATGTGTAATGGTCTCGTTCTACTTGGAATTATATGAAGATAATTCAAGAAACCCTTTTCAAAATCAAAGGAAACGTTGTTTAGAAACTAATAGAAAGAGATACGTTTCACTTTTTCAATATAGACAAATTTAAGTAGTCACCTCTAATATACCAAAAGTGAAGTTAACAAATGAAGGCAAAGCCCTGCTTGCTGAATAAGCCTCTGCTTCAACATTTAGATGCTCAAATCGAACTTCAATTGTTGGAATTTCGATACCAACTCTAAAAAAATAAAGAAAAACAAAAGAAATCATGAACAAAACCAAATAACCAAAACAGAGTAACTCTGTTTCAGAATAAAAACAGAGCTTCCATAACCAAAATAGAGTTCCTCTGTGTGACAATAAAGAAACATATAAAAAAAAAAATTAAAAAAAAAAAAAAAACCAATCCTAGACCCTAATTTTTTCCAGCAATTTTGATAGCGAAAAAATGTGAAATGCAAGAATCAAAATTAAATTAAAAATATATATATAATATGCCTAAGGAGAAAACAGAGCTTCAACAACCAAAACAGAGGTTGCACTTTCTTTCCAGCATTTTCTCCTTAACCAAACACACAAGATGTAGAAGAAAAAAAAAACATCTTTACCTATCAATGCGATTCTTGAGTTTCAACAAGAACTTCTCATTATCTTCTTCAGCAACTTTGATCAACCTCTCAAGCAACAACTTTCTTTCTTGAAATCCAAGATTGTCTACATCAATTTCACTAGCTACACCTTTAGATGCACTAAGCAATATACCTTTCCTTAAACGATCATAAGTGGGTAATTTTTCAAGTGCAGCCCATTTTAGAGCTTCTTCATCATCTTCATCTCTTGAGGATCTTGAAAATACATCATTAGGATTATTATTTCTCCACATAGAAAAGCTTCCTTTTCTTCTTAAACTACTGCTTGCTCTATAAATATCACCTCCCTCCATTGTTAATGAATCAGTTCTTCAATATCAAGAACTGCCAAAACCCAGATTTTTTCTTTCTTGAACTGCAAATGGCTGCAAGCAACCTATTAGTTTGACATTCTTGGAGAAAAGACTCAATCAGAACAAAACTGTTATTTGTAATGATGCAATTCGCCTTTTAAACTATGAAAAAACTTATTTCTTTCTCAATGAAACTTTGGGAGATGAAAAATAATAGAGAAAACAAATTTATAGGGAAATGCTAGAGTACTGTCTACGACAGGGAGCATAATGACAAGAAGTATATGTCAACAAGCGCTTACAGAAATTTTTATATACTGGTATTAATAATGCCAGTATAAAGTCCATGTAACTCTCAAATTTTATTACAAACCATGTGCATCACTCATATACTAATATGCTCAAATAAATATTTTATCATTACTTTAATATAATTTGTTTAGTGAAAAAATATTTAAAAGCATTTTAAAATAAAATTGTCATCGATTAATATTGTGGTGTAGTATTTATCTCATAATATAGAGGATTTGAGATTGAAACATTAAAATTTTTTTTAAAAAAAAAATCTAAAATTTAATTTATCATATTATGAGTACTGATTTTAGTTTATAAACCTTGAAAAAAAAAAGAATATAAGTATTTGCCAATTTTATTTATAATGATTAGGGGAAGGACCATGTAATTTATGAAATAAATTGAAATTTGGTGTTCATTTATTAACAAATTAATTTTTATATAGGTAAGGTTCACAGGCCCTTTTGTTTGACCAAAATATCGATGAGTGTGTTCAAAAGTTCAAATCTCCATGTAATCTGCTTAAGCATGTGCTTCCTTTATTCCGTTAATTTTTAAATATTTCATTTAAGCATGTAATCTCCATATGATCTGGAATTTGGAATCATCATGTGCACACCTTTATTTATATAAATTTTTTATATTAGGTAAGGTTCAACAGCCTTTTTGCTTGACCAAAAATATCGAGAGTGTTGTCAAGTTCAAATCTCCATGTAATCTTTGCTTAAGCAGTGCTCCTTTTATTCCGTTAATTTTTTTAAATATTTCATTTAAGCAAATTAATCTACCATATGATCATGGAATTTTGGAATCATCATGTCACAAGCATAACGACCTTTATTTATAATATATAATAATATATAGTATAGATATATATATATAATATAGTAATACTAACCCATCCAATTCTCTAAATAAAATACCTAATTATATTACAGCAGTACTTATCACATTTGAAAAAATAGTTAAATATATACCATCATTCTCTAATAAAATACTAATTATATTACACAGTACTTATCACATTTGAAAAAATAGTTTATTCAAAAAATATTTATCATATTTGTGATTATAAAAAGTAATAAATCTCTTTTTTCCCATATTTATCATGATCAATAATTATTGTTTTAATTTTTAATATTTTTTTAGAAAATTAGTATTAAATTAAGTGAGATATAGTCAATTTACTCAATAATTTATTGTAATTTAGATCAATTTAATAATTTTATTAAGAGACGTAAAATGTTAAATGTGACAAGTATTATAAAATAGAAATAACTTTTAATCCGTTAATAATTCATAATTAACAATTAACAACAAATTAAAAGAAGCCGCTAAAAGAGACCTTAAAGTAAAATATATTTAGGGGCTCTTTCTTCTAAGGTATGAAATTCAAAACCCTTTTTTCACTTTTATTTTTTATTTTTTAGTTCATGTGATGTCAGATAAATTCAAACAATATATAAGCTAATATTTATCTATTAATTAATCAAAATTTTAAATTATACTCCATATGTGAAAAATATATGAAAAGATTAATCAGACTATTTGAATTTTTCGTCAATTTCAAATTATAATTAATAAATATTACTATTATTATAATAAGTATCAGCTAAATACTTAATTTTATTATTCAAAATTTTTTATAATACATAATAATATATGAAAATAATTATACTATTAACAGTAATTTTACATTTAAATAGCAACCATCACCTACTAGATTAAATGAATTACTGAATAAATCTAATTTAAATTAATATATTAACAATTAATAGAGATTAAAATGAATGGTTTTAGACATGTTTGATTATATTGTATTAATAAATAACGCGTTGTGTTAAGTATTAATCTAGAAGTTGAAATAAATAATCTATTTTCCTGCATTTAAGGTATTCTGTCAATTTATGCATCCAACATGGGATACATTTTTAAGTATTTTTTGTTGTATGATTGGAATATAGTCTCTTACTCCCAACGTTACGTTCTGTAATTGTTTTCTTTGAGGTTTGTCTTGTTTGTAATAAAAATAAACAAAACGATAATTTCATTTTTAATATATTTTTTAGATATATTCTGCATTGTATGTTTGGCTGCCCGTAATTGCAACACCATGCAAATATGACGGTATTTTTAATATTCTAAAATTAAATAGTTAATTAATTTATAATTTTTTAAATCTCTTATTATATGACACAATAATTATTTTTTAGTTCATAATTGATTTAGTCCATATATATGTGAACCATATTTCGATTATTTTTTATTATTCCTTAATTTTGTAATAAATTAATACATGAAAGTATCAATGTTTTGAACTTACTTCTTTACTAATTTCATTATAGTATTATAAAAAGATTGTAAATTGATTAATCATTCTAGCATTAAATATATTTTATACGATAAATAAAAGATTAACCAATTTAACCCTTCTCCCCTAAAATAAGTTTTTGTGATAATTAATATTTAATAACTTGAGTGAAATTCAATAATAATAAATAATACAATGACTTAGAACTAATCTACAAATAATCCTAATTAATTAATAAGCAAACCTAATGTGGGATAAATAAATTAAATTAAAGGATATAATACCTGGCTACTTAACAGCATCACTAATGATGTTATCCTCTACCTAATTCCGATATGTGTTCATTAGATTATTAATTAAATTCTATTACATCTTACACAAGATTTTTTTTTTTTAAATATTAGTCATTAAAAAAAAAGGTGTCTAAAAGGAAACGTTAATGGGTCATGGTAGCGCACCTAAAATGATAGATTAATAATTAATTTATATGAATAAAATCATATTCTTCATGTCGTGCTATCCTTCTGAAAATTGATTGGATTTTTAAGGATTTTTTATTAAAAAAAAGGGTGATTTTAAGAATTTGACCAAAAGGGATATGAACAATAAGATGTAGACAGGAAAGAACACATATGTCTGAAAAAACCAAGAAAGAAAAAATAATAAAAAAATTAAAATTATTTCTAGCTCCAGCTAATGATGTTAGTTGCAAGAGAAATAAAATTTACATATGTATTAAAGGTCAAATTTATATTTTAAGATCATTTAAGGAAAAATATTAATATAAGACTTTATTGTTAATAAAAATGAAGAACTAATAAATTTACATATGCACTTTTTTTTTTTACTTCCACATGAGATGTCATGACTTATGGTTTTATCATCTGAAATCTGAATTAAGAATTGTTGGTGGAAATCCGGCATTTTCCTTAACTTATTATGTTTTGTTGCTACATTTTTAACGTTAATCAAACGAATTTAATATTTGGATTAGCAATTGAAATACAAACATAATAAAGTATCTCTGTTTAACAATTAGATAAAAAATCAATTCCTTTCAAAGCTGAATAATTATATTAAAAACGGTTTTTAAAATATCAACTCTAAAATTCAATTATAAAATCATCAGACTAAATTATTTTGATTCACATTTGATTAAATAATGTCCCGTGAAAAGAGTACGAAATGACACTCGTATTAAAAACATTAAACATCTGAAAAAGAAAAAAAAAAAGGTGCGGAGATAGGAGAGGAAGGGCTGCTCGAGAAGCACCGTGGCGGGCTGGGCGGAGGAAGCATGCAAGGGCGGTGGAGATCTTCTAGAAGCGATATTAAAGGCCGCGAGCAATTATAAATGAAGAATGGAGCTGGATCAAGTTGTCATTTGTCACGTTTTATTTATTTATTTATTTTTGTGAAGTGGTGACGTGGTGTAATATATAAATACGAGAATATTAATTGTATGCCATGACTTAATTATGATATATACATCCTTTCCAAGAATTTCATCTACCAATGTTACAAATAATGCCACAATCAGTCATTTCTTTTATAGGAAAACAATATTGTGTTTATCTTTAAATTATTTTTTTTATCAATTTAATCCTAATGCATGATAAAACAACAACTCGACTTAATATTATCTATTATTTTTAAAATTTTAATCTCGATATACATAAATTTGATTCTAGAAATATTTAAATTTGAAAAATTATATATATTATTTATTTATACAGTAAATATATGTATATCTCTATAAAATCACATTAATTTTTTATTTTTTATTTTTATATGCAATATCATTCAAATTTAGCCGTATCTTCATTAATTGGTGAAAGTCGTTTTGGTTTATATACTGAAGCAAAGGAACTGAGCTAACAAAATATCTAACGAACTGACACCTGTACAAATGCCAAACCGATGGGTTCTTTCTCGAATAAATATCAGCTCACCAAAACTCTCCGTTTCACTTAATTACATCGACAGTTGAAGGGCTACCGTTTTGTTCAGTCCGTACCGTTTCATTCAGTTTGGTTTTATCCTTCAATATATTAACTAATTAATTTGAAGCATTCAACTTTTTTTTTTTGAACTTTGAAGCATTCAACTATTGAAATAACAATTTCTATGACAAAAAAAAAAAAAAAAAAATTTAAGCCAATCAAGTCTTATTTTTTTGAAACTTTTGAAGCATGTCAACTAGTTGAAATAAAGAACAATTTTCTATGACCAAAAAAGAAAGAAAAAAAAAGAAAAAAAAAAAAAAAAAAAAGAATAGAAACTATTAGATTGACCGTTAAATTAAAATATTTTGTTCAGTCCGTATCGTTACTCTCGCAATAACGTCACCTTGCTTTTAAAATATCAATATTCTAAAATCAAAGGAGAAATAAAATTCAGCAATATTATATTTAGTGATTTAGACCAAAAAGTATATTAAGATCATGACATATATTATTTTTCATATATTTACGGTTATATTTTAAGTTGTTTGGTAGAAAAATTAATTCAATTTAATTTTTTAAAAAAGTCAGATAAGAAAAGTGAATATTTTTATGGAAAAGAAAAGTGAAATATTTTGAAAAAACAAATAGTCAACAAACCTATTTTTTACTAATTGAACAAAGTCCTAAACGACTATCTCAACCATTATCTATTTTTTTTTAAAAAAAAATAACCATTATCTATGTTTATACTATAAAAGAGGAAATAAGGAGAATAATAAAATTTTTTAAATATCATTAAAGAAATTTAAGATATTCAAAATATCTTTAATTATGACTAATAAAAAATTATAGCTTAACACAAATATATAATACTTGAATAATTAATATATAATGGATAATTATGAATTTTAAAATTTGAAATTTTATAGAATTTTTTTGTTTGTTTTCAAAATTTTATTTATAATTAATTAATAACTAATATATAAATGCATAATTATAACTTTTAAATTTTTGATATATATATATTAATATCCCTTAGTTCATCTAATCAAATATATTTAATTAATTTATTTTAAATCATCTAAATTTTTTTTATTTAATTTGTATATTTAAAATTTTATAGTATTGAGTGATGGAAAATTCTAACTAAATATATTGTCAGGTTATCTATATATTTACTATTAGGCCATGATGTGCATTATAATTATAATTAGTGCTTGATTATTGTATAAATGGACCATTTCATAAGTAAGTGCTCAGTCACAATCACTTTTTTTTATGTAAATAAGGAGAGCTAAAGACTCAGCACACAAAAAAAGACTGAAACAATACATTTATAAAGAAAGTAACTCCACAATGTCTTGAAATGGAATAACTCTTAGCAGAATGAGAACCAAAAGAAAGAGAGATGACAAAATGAGCCAGCAAATCATTTCTGAATTTTAATTTGTGACTTAAAAATATCTAAATTTATAAAAGTGTACTACTAATATGACTTTTACCAAAATAATTAATTTCAAGTTACTGAACATGTTCTAATAGGCCAAAAAACCATGTTGGCATTAATTATATTTAAAAAAATCAAAAAATCTGAAATTTTTTTTAGCCTCAAATAAATCTGCATCTAAAAGCTGAGCAACACACCAGGATGCTAATCATAAAACATCTGAACTCCAAACAACTGACAATCCGCGTGAGTAGCTAAATAATCCGCAACTGTATTCACCTTACAATTAATTTCGATCCCAAAAATCTTCCGCTCTTTTTTTTAAGTACTCATTCCGTTCCATTTTAATAGCTATAAATGTGCATTTTTTATTTTTCCACTTTAAGTGCTCATTTATAATTTTGAGAGTATATTAATTTTTTTTTTAAGTTTATCTATATTTATTAGGTGGTTTGTAGCAAATTTAATTGGGGAGCTCTTAATATATATTTAGAAAATTAATATATTCTAATTATTTTCTTAATCCTTGTGAAAAAGCCAAATGTTGCTATTAAGGTGAACAATGAGTAATTCTTTTCACTTCTCAACCAGATTCCTGACTCGTAATGCTGCTGGAGCATCTCCTAAAATTAAACCATAAGCAAGTTGAGAATCCACCTGCACCATGAGCCGCGCCAACCTCTATCCCAACCAAGCAATTTGGAGTGCATAAACTATATCCCGCAAGCCCCTGTCTTCTGTACTACCACGTTTGGAACTTCTATCTGTATTGATAATATTATCTTGTATCTCTCCTGCATCTTTGTCAAATATATATATATATATAATTACATACAATAATCTTAGCATCTATTAGTAATTTAATGATATATTTTTAATAGTTAGAATAATAGAGTAATCGTATCAATAATTCAAGGTAAATGAAGTGGGATTGCATTAATTGTTAATACAAATTTGTACATGTTAGTAGCCAATGAGTAGTCATAAAATTAAATGCTAAATGCCAAAACTTGGATGATAAGTCTCCATCCATCTTTTATCTCTTGAAGAAGTTTTTCTCACAACCAAAAGATGCTAACATAAAAACTGATACACATGATATGGGATTTACATTTTACAACAGTAAACGTATCCACGCCTCCAACAATCCACATGCTTGAAAGCAATCCCCTGGAATTAGACCATGTTCGGTGACCTTTTATATAATCTTTTGATTTGATCTAATGTTATTTTTATTATTTATAGTGTTAGATAACATAACGTTTAGAACAGTTAGTCTTTATTTCTCATCATCAGCAATCGTTGATTCATTCACGAGTTGTTAGATCAGAGGACAATAATTCATTATCCTTGGATTCCTTATATGTTTTTCAATTGTCAATTCATAATACCACTAATACAAAATTGAGTAGTAACGACCAATCTGGTCGTCATTCCAACAGAACGTTACCCTATCTTGTGTCGTTTGATTGATTTTGGTCAGGAAGTATTGGAGCAGTAAGCAAAGGAAATAGAATGGAATTCTGAAGTGAAGTAAAGAAAATGTAATTTCAGGAAATATAGCAATTACAAACTTACAGTAGCTTTGCAGCTTCTACTTGTATACAAGTAACTAAATAAAAGCTTGCACAGTTACTACTAATACAAGATATTCAAAAATCAAATACAATAAATCAAATATACAAGAACTTAACAAGTCTCTTCTTCTCTACTTTGTCATTTTGTTGACAATTATGCTTAGCAAATCTCTATATGCTTGGCAAATCTCTACCTCCTTTGGAAATTGAATGCCTTGATCGAAATTGCGAAAATAAATGCGAAGAGCACAGTGATTCCAACAATTACACCTGCAACTGCTCCAAGAAAATCATGTTTCATACCATAGGATGACTTTAGAAACTCAGCCACAGTTTGACCATTGCCGTCTTCAAGTATAGTATGTACATCACCAAACTGTGATGCGATTAGTCCATACAAGGTCCAGGCTATCGGACATGCCCAGTAGTACCATCTCCACCACACGGGCATACGCTGTTAAAGAGCAAGAAGAATAAAAGTTAAAGAGCCGGATGATTATGGATTAAAGAAACCAAAATCATAAGTTGCAGAAGACTTACAGGTCGGGGAACAATGAATCCTGCAAATATATTCCATATTGAATAGAATGCTGAGGAGACTATGGCTGCAATGTGGTGGTTTGGCGTGACAGCGACAGTCATCATTCCGTAGAAGGTGAAGTACAGCAATGTGAAGTACAGCAAGAATAGATACCAGAAGAACTTGGCAGCGGTCCATTCAAATGCAATCATTGAATATGTAATAAGACTGTATGCTACAGATTGAGCGAAAACGTATGGAAGCTCAATCAAGGCCTGCAAGAAACAAAAATTGCATTCAGAGTAATGGAAATATACACAAACAATATTTATATGAACTAATTGTATATAATAAATGTAAATTCATAAAAAGTTTTTACCTGTGCATATGCATAGGGCATGGCAGAATACAGTCCAGCAGCTCTCTCTCTATAAAAGACAGTTCTTTCAATTGCAACTACAGGCTGCACACTACTTGCATTTTGCACACCGAGGAAGAAAGTAGCTGCATATAATGCACCCATTGCATTCGCAAGATCTTGTTGCCTAGTCCTGGAGTTGAAGAAATGAGAATAGATAAGTAGCAAGAAATAGAGGGAAACTTTATTGGAAATCAAAGTTTATTAGATTGTTTCATTTCTGCCATATAGGACTTACACTGTGGAGCCAATGTCCCAGAAAATTGTCCCGAACATCAAGGCGACAAAGGTTGTGAACCAAAATCTTACAGCTGTGTATGGTGGATTTCGCCAGTATGACCATTGTTGCTTCCATAAGCAAGCAAGAGTTTGAGTGAAAAAGGATGTTGCGTATTGTGTGGGGAAATAGAGGTCCTTTGTACCAGGAGCAGGCTTGCTTAGTTCCTGAATCATTGCCTTGTTTCTCCTGAATTCGTGCCACGGATTAGCAACAAATTTAAGAACAAATAATCTTTTAGATTCTTAAAGTAACTGCTTTATATAACCCTTGTTAGAACATATTGGCACAATGAATGATCTAGTTTATAAGGAGAAAATAAACACCTGTAAAGATCAGACTTCTTGTAAAGATCAGTAAAATCAACCCCCAAAGCTAACTCTTGTGCTGGAGTGGTAACTTCCAACATCCAAGTTGCTGGGTTGTAGCCATCTGTAATTTTGCTAACTCCTTCAATTCCCTGGATAAAAGAAACGACAATTGAATTATGTATCATGAATGTTATAAGAACAAGGTTCCTAAGCTATGTATCAATTTGATCACTGCGTTAAAAATACCTCAAAATAATTAACCAAATGGGTAGAATGGCGACCCAATGGCCCAACATATATCTCTTCACCTCCTCTCTTCATCAGGAATAACTGCAATGCCACAATTGAATACATCAAACTTATATCTTGTAAAATAACAAAGTAATTTATGTATTATATAATATTTTTAACATTTCCTACCTCATCAAAGGCTTCAAATATGTCAATGCTTGGCTGATGAATGGTGCAGACCACTGTTCTTCCTGTATCCACAGTGTTTCTAACCGTTCTCATGACAATGGCAGCAGCTCTTGCATCTAGCCCTGAAGTTGGTTCATCCATGAATATAATTGAGGGGTTTGCCACCAACTCTACTGCTATGGTTAGACGTTTCCGCTGCTCTGTGGTTAGACCAGTCAAACCAGGTAACCCAACTAGTGAGTTCCTCAATGGATTCAACTCCACAAGCTCCATGACTTCCTCAACAAACATCTGCAACAAAGTAGTGTAATATGAAGTTAAGGATGTGGTTGTACTAGAACTCTTTTACAAGGAGTTTTGAACTTGACAAGAAGGGTTCGTATAAGGTAAAAGTGCCTTTTGAACTAGGTGAGGATAAATAATTTGATTGAGGTTGACATATACATAAGCTACTAAACAAGCACAGTCGTATGATAACAAACTTTCAATTCTTACCTTTCTGGTGTCAGCATCAACATCAGGGGGTAGACGAAGCCAAGCTGAGAAGACTAACGATTCATAAACAGTAACATTTGGAGAGTGGATGTCATTTTGCTCACAGTATCCTGAAATTCTAGCAAAGGTTTCTTGCTTTTTTGGGTATCCAGAGATTGTGATATCCCCCTCGATATATCCACCAGTTTTCCTACCAGCCAACACATCCATAAGAGTGGTTTTACCAGCTCCACTAACACCCATTAAAGCTGTGAGAACACCTGGCCTAAAAGCACCACTGACACCCTTCAAGAGCACCAATTTATCTTCAAGGACACCCTGACTTTTCATTTCCTGTAAAATTCAATCAAACAAGATGAGAGTTCATCCACTATCATTCTTGTAACCACATCACATTTAACAGATCGACACCCACAATACCTGTGGCATGTCAACTGAGTAGACAACGTTATCAAAGGTGAGGGAATGTGGTTCAAATGGAAGAACCATTCCCCTCTTCTTGTTGTTTGGCTCATCAATTCCACTTGTTCCAGTATCTGCATTTAAATTGAATATTGATTAGTACCTAATAGGAAGTTAGGAACATAAGAGATGACTTGATACGAACATATTATCAATGACTCTGTTACCTGTTCTGTGACTGCCTTCAATTTGCGATAACTGAATGGCTCCTCCAGGTCTGACACTTGATTCAGGCTCATCAGATATAACTGCCTGAGGCTTGTCAAATTCTGCCAGACAGTAATGGAAAATATCAAAAGCTACCATTATCAGAAATCATGAGATTGAGACGGTTGTGATACTCACCGTCAAAGACAGCAAGAGCGATTGCATAAAGGATGTTGAAGACGAACATAAACCCAACTTGTGCCCCTACTCCAATCCAATACCAATGTGCATCTGTAAAGAACCCACGGCTTTTCAGAACTTGAACTCCTAGTGTTTCGTTAGTGCTTGAGCCTTCAGGAATCTGTAATTTGTAAAATAAGTTCAGTTATCAGTTGATTATGGAGAGGTAAAAAGCATAAATATAGACAAAGGCTAGCTGAAGGAAATTACATGACTCCAACTGTGCCCAAGGAACTCATTAACAACTATTGCATTCTGCCCATACATCAGTGGTGATATCCAGTAACCCCATATCCACCATTTCTTAATGTCCTCTGTTCCAAAAAACAAGAAAAAAAAAAGATGTATTTCAGGTTTGATGTTAGAAAGTTTTAATCTATAAAGCACTCTTTGTGAACAAATTATACCTCTTGACAGGACAAAACCACCCAAAGCAAAAAGAGTAAGCAGTGCAAATGAACCAAAGGTGTTAGCAACAATCATATTCCTTCCAATTGAAGCGATTAACCGAAATAGACCAGAGGCCATTTGATTGACTAGCAACAGAAGTAAGTATTGCTTAAATAGCCTGCAGGAGATGCAACATATTTTTGAATCAACTGGAAATGAGCAGATATCAAATAATATAAGCTACAAAGTTATTCGTCTCGTCTCTTACCTTCCAACATTGGGATCAAATCCAATAACATAATATGTGAGGGCAACCCAAACGGCAACTTCCACAAATGAGATAGGAATTTTAAGAACCCATGAAGGTAGAGCATATGCCCATGCAGGAAAGAATCGGAAGTCCCTTTGCTTGTAGAATACAGGAAGCTTTGCAATGGTCATAGACAGTTCTGACATGCCATTAAACATGATTAGGGTCGCGGCGAAGAACAATGCACCCGTGTAAATCCCTCCATCAGTGACATCATTGTGTTTCATCTCAGTCCTAAAGAAGAGTGTCATGCTAACGATTGCCATCATCACAAGCTGGTTGCAGAAAGTATAGTGAAAACACATTAATTCACATGTAAAATTTGAGAACTGAAAATATTGCAAGTATAATGAAAATCCAATTGATAATTACTTGGAATAACTTGAAGTAGTAGACGAATGAGTTCCTTTTCATGAGTAAGTATTCTCTTGAAAAATTTGCTTTAAGCAGCTCCATCTTTCCAACACCATAGGGTCTGGTTGACAAAGCAGCTGGGTGGCTCTTGGTCCTATCATATGGAGTTGAAAGATCTTCTGCGATTTTTCGACCCACTTCAAATGATTGAAATGCCTCAGCAAATTCGTTCACTTCGACATATCTGTAAGGCTGATTTTTGCGTGCCCAATACTGTTGCTGATCTTTTTTAGATGTAACCTGCAAAGAATTCATCATTTAACAGGTTATGGGACTGCACATTTAATAATCCCCTTAAAGAAGACATTATTACAAAACCAAAGAAAGAATTACTTCTTGCAAGAAGTCAGCAACGCCTTTTCTGTCAGGACATTTGAACCCCATATGTTCAAAAAACTCAAGGACACGCTCTCTAGGTCCATGGTACACAATCTGGCCATCTGATATTAGAATAATATCATCAAAGAGGTTATAGGTCTCCGGTGCTGGCTGAAGGAGGGAGATGACAGCAGTTCCATTAAGAATGTGAATTGATTGCCTCAGTGAGTTCACAATCTGGTAAGTTGTTGAGCTGTCCAAGCCAGTGGAAATCTCATCCATAAACAATGCCTTTGCTGGTCCAACAAGCATTTCACCTGCAATTGGATTGTTGAAGAATTTCATACACGTGGTTGAAAGGGCAAATAATAGAAATAGACTAATGGAGGTTGTCTCATTTACCTGTTGTAACACGTTTCCTTTGCCCTCCTGAGATACCCCTTATCATTTCATTCCCTACAAGAGTATCTGCGCAGACCTCCAATCCTAATATCTGAAAATTTTAAGAGATAAATGAATTGAGAAATTTATCAGATATTGTATCTAAACAATTATTTTTAAAAGATCTATGATGATTAAAAATAATTCAAGGTGATAATAACCTTCAAAACATAATCTGTGACCACACTAGTCTCCTGACCTTCTGTTGCTGCTGCCTGTGATGCCAAAGATGACAGTAAATAGAAATTAATTGCTATCAATCAAATTTATTCTGTTACAGAAACTCTTCTACTGTAATTATAACCATCATAAAACAGAAACACCACTTCAACCAAGTGATCACTAAGAATAGATAAAAATCTACATTGACATGGCAGGTGCCAATATAAAAAACAGGGAATATGGTTTGAAGACATTGATCTATTTGTTAGGCCAGTGTCTGTCTAGGGTGTGAGGAAAATTATGTTTTATGCTTCTCCTAACAATTCTTTTCCATTATTAGTAACTTCCCTCACCTTCATGAAGACATCAATGTCAGGATCAGGCTTAATATTTGCTGCCTTTTCTCTTCTTGACAACTCTGCTAACATTTCTGCAAATCACAAAAACAAATTGTCATGCTTATATTTTGTACAAGTCACCTGAATACCTCATGAAACTAGTTCTGCAATGTGATCTAACCATGTTGGGTTCCAACTCCTTGGCATCTGGCAGAAAATGCCAAAGTTTCTCTTACAGTCATTTCTCCAATATGGAGATCCTGTTGACTGATATAGGCAGCTGTTCTTTGAGGAACAAATTCATTCAGTGTATGACCATTATAAGTCACAGAACCAGAAACCTGCAAGAAAAATTCAACATAAGGAAACAATAAAAGCAAAATTATCAAGTAAAATATAAAGCTGAAAGAGTTTTTATCTCTACCTTTAAAGAAGGATCAAGCTTTCCAGCTAGTGCCAACAAGAGTGTGGTCTTTCCAGAACTCGGAGGACCCAAAAGCAAAGTCAGTCTGCAAAACATACATATCAAAAAGATTAAAAACAGATACCGAATATTTTTCCTTCAATTTAGAAAACTGGAAAGTGCAAGAAATCAGATGTTCAGATCTTATGCCCATCTCACCTTGATGGCTTGATAACTCCACTAACATCTTTAAGGATGGTCAATGGTCTCTTTCTACTTGGAAAGATAGGAATAAAACGCAGAAGGCCCTTCAAAATCAAAGGGAAAGTTAGCTTATGAGAACATCATACAAAAACTGAATAAGAACAGTTACTGACTCTATATATTTTCAACCGCTTACCTCTATCGCACCAACAGTGGCGTTAATGAACGTCGGCAAAGCACGACTACTTCCTACGAAGGCTTCTGCTTCAATATTTAGATGCTCATATCTAACTTCGATTGTTGGAACTTCAATTCCAACCCTAACATACAAAGAGACCAAAAGAAAATTGAGGCCAAATATACAAGAAAATAAGAAACCTCAACAAATAAAACAGAGCTCCTCTGCGCAGCAGCTAACGATGAAATATCCATATGGCAGTTCTTGTATGTCGAAAACCACTTTCTATAATAAATCTTTTGTTCTTTCTTACGTTTTATCAAACATAAAACTCGTAACATGAAGAAAATAATATTTACCTATCAATTCGATTCTTGAGCTTTAACAAGAACTTCTCATTATCTTCTTCAGCAACTCTGATCAATCTCTCAATCAAAGTTTTCCTTTCTTGTAATCCAAGATTATCTACATCAATCTCATTAGCTCCACCTTTAGAAGCACTAACCAGTATACCTTTCCTAAGACGATCATAGGTAGGTAACTTTTCAAGAGCAGCCCATTTAAGAGCCTCCTCATCGTCTTCTTCTCTTGAAGATCTTGAAAAAACCTCCAGCCCATTATTCCTCCAACCCGAAGAGCTTCCTCTTCGTAAACTAGCACTTGCTCTGTAATGGTCCGTCCCCTCCATTAAGAAGAACTTCAATAACTACAACAAAATTTTAAAAACCCACCAAAACCCAAATCTTGTTTCTCAATTCTGTCTTGATTTAAAAATATGAATCAAAGAAACACCAAAATTTCAAGTTCTTGAGCTTGAACAGGCAAAACTGTGGAAATGGGTTTCTTAGTAAAACTGAGTTGAAGAAAGTTAGAATGGAGGGATGGCTTTTATAAGGTAATAGGAGAAGCAGAGTATTGACTGGCGGCTTTATTATTAACATTCAAACTTGGTAGATTATGTTGTTCTTTAAAATATTTTGACCAAATTATTGAAAAGAAAAAAAAAAAAAAAAGAAAAGGAAAAGTCTAACAAAATTTTCATTTTCCGGTCTCCACGCTATCTGGAATATGAGAAAGCTGTCCTGCTTGTTAAGGCCGCCTTGCATTGTCTTATCTTTGACAGTTAGCCGTTCTAACAGCACGGTGGATGTGGAAATTAAATGGATAATATTATTATTATATTCGTTCTATACGTCAGGTTTGAAACCAGGGTCCAGGAGGCTGCCTGGCATTAGGATTTTTTTTTAATATTTCAGATATTTTTATATAAAACAAAAACATTATAATAAAAAAATATTATTTTCGCAATTATTGATTCCTTTTCTTTTTAATATTATAAAATATAACTAAATAAATAAAAAGATAGATTTTTAGTATATTGATAGCACATGAAAGCATAATTAGAATAACACACTATGATTATAATATATGTAGTGATTGAATGTTTTATTAATTTTTTAAATTGCACATGATTTGAAGTGTAATAATGCAGAATAAACCTGTGTGTACATGTAACAAATTTTTATTTAGATGTTGGAAAAATGAGTTAAATGTGTCAAAATGTATCCTTATAAAAATAATATTTCCTTTAATATATTTTCGTTAGTCTTTTCATTAATGTGAGGAACGAAAGATAATAAGATAATTAATTTAATGTGATATTTTGGCCCTTTGCGCACTCAATGAATAAAAAAAATATTAATGGTGTATATATTTAAAATTATGAATTGCTTTATTTATTCAATATTTAATTAATGGTAATAGTAGTAAATTTGGACTTTACATAGGGTAGAATAGAAAACTCTATATATATTACTATCTTTTAAAAGAGAAAATAAAACTATAATTTATTATAAATGGCAAATGAGCCTATTTTTATATTGACAAATAGAGTATGATATTTTGTGAAATAGAAAACCAATTTTTTTGTAATTAAGCATAGTATTATTGAAAAAAAAAAGTAAATCATTTTTAAATTCCAAAATTTTTTTTTAAATATTATTATCATTTAATCAAATAGTATTGCATAAATATTAAATAAGCCTTAAAAAATTTATTAGAGTGAATTATTGAGCAATTTTTTTTTTTATCTTCTACCAGACAGTTAATTAGTTGATAGTAACTGAAGAGGGGTTTAAACTTCTAACCTGCAATAAATAAGTTTAAATAATTTTTAGTCTGCTGTCATTTTTATCCAAAGATTTAGGAAACTATATTGACCATATGGAAGTTTAGGGGATAAATGTATTAAAAATTAATTCTTGCTTTCCATTATATAATTAAATAAATAGCTTGTTTTAAGTTTCTTTGAATTGCAAAAACTATGTAATTACATAATTAATAAATAGTGGAACTTTCTGTTGGATGTGCCTAATTAACCAAATCATTGATTAAATCAACCATCTAGAAGTGCAATTTTTATTATTTGAGTGGAACTATCTAGAAATGCTTGAATGAGGGACTTCAAATTAACTTAATTACAACCTAAGGACTAAATCAAATGAAGGGTTTATAATTATTACCTCCGTTCTATTTTTATCTATGCTTTTTGGAAATTATTTCACTTTGAAAAAATTAAATAGTATTAATTAATTTTTCCAACTTCGTTCTTTTCTTTACGAAATACAATAACTATTATTTATAATTTTCTAAAACCTATTTGATCACCTATTTTTTTTTTTTTTCTTAATTTTGGTGGCAGGTTAACTAAGAGAAAATTATTGATATTAGAACAATTAAATGAAATTAAGGGTAATTCAAACAATTAAAAAAATATTTTATCATAATTTAAGTGATAAAATTACCTATTTAATTACCATGCAAAGGCTAAAAGCGACATAGAGAGGTAAAACCATTAATTTAATTTTCTAAATCTCAAAACAAAAGGAAAAAGGTCAACGCATGCGTAGAAGAAATGAAAATGAAAATGCAAGCAAAGAAAGAAGAAATGATGTTGCCGGGAAATAGAGAATCAATGTTTCATTTCATTCAATCTCCAAGATTTACGTTTCCTTCAAATACTTAATATTAATTAATTAATATATATTAATATTATTATAATTGACTCGGAATTTTCTCCAACTACATTTTCTACTAGCTACCTTTTCTATGCCTTCTAGATTCGCTACATGTGAATACGTAACTCGGTTAATAAAATATTGCTTTAATTAATTTTTATTTATATATATATTCCCACATGATTATTATTTTCTCTTCTCAGTTTCCATTGAGCGAAACATGTAAATTCACCATTATACATTTTATGAATTTTTTTTTTTGTAAAATATTCTAAATTTTAGGAGGATTTATTCATTTCACATCTGCTCAACGTTAGCAATAATAATTTTTAGAATTTTTAATTTCTAGATAAAATATTAATTTAATACATAGTTAATATAATTTTTCAATAATAACTTTTATATTTTTCAACTATCTATAATTGTTTAATTGATTTAATTCTGTAAGTTGGAATGGTTTTAATAGAATGAATTTGAAGTATTTAATAAATATAATTTAATAATTTTAAAACGTTTAATGAGTGAAAATAAAAATTGAGTACGCCGCAAAAAAATATTAACTAAATGTACAAGAAGAAAAATTTATACATGTGGCCATTTTTAATCTACTTAAAATAATATATTATTGATTACTCCAGCAGTTGAATGTACATAGAGGTCAGGCATTCAAAAATTAGCAACTTCCCCCCTTGAAAATTTTTTTGACATATAAGTAAAATTTTGTAAAAAAAATTCATTAATCGATATTTTAAAAAGAATTGAAAATGTGTCATTTTAGGGATTAGAATTGTTATTAAAAATATTTTTAGATTAAACATTTCTTTTGTGATAATTTAGTAATTATTAAATTGTGAATGTTAAATTATTACAGGAAAGTAGTTGTAAGTTAATTATAGGGATATAGAAATATGGAATAGGAATAAAATAGACAGACATGAGGTACATTTGATTGGGGATTCTTCGGACAAAAAAAAAAAAGATCCCCTTCTAGATGAAATATTATTATATCAGTATATAATAATTACTCCTTCTAGATATGGACAAGACAAAAGTTAAAACAAAAGCAAGAAATTAAAAAAAAAAAAAAAAGTAAAACCACTAGCAATTGCATTATTACACCTAAATTCATAAAATATGGAATAAATATAAAATATGAAACGATCAGCCACGTGACCCAATTAGCTGTTAGTATTATGCAATATAGTTATCTATATAGATCACTTTTGGACAAGTTGCTTAAAGGTGGGGTGTGGAAATTTGAAATTATATTACTTTATATTATAAGAAATTCTAACAAACTGTCTTTTTCCTTATCTTGTGAGCTATCACAGGAAGCTTCCTCTTTCTTTTTTTTTTTTTCTTTTTGTACAGTTTATACAGCACTATCTTTTAACTTAATGGACTTTATATAATTCTGCTTTCACCGTGTCAAATTCATTAAAAAAATTATTCTCGATAGAGCTTTTCTATATCCACAAAGATAAAATATTCGATTTTTTATTTGAAAAATTTGAGTTTTTTCCGCTCTATTAAACTCATTATAGAAGCTCATCTTTTAGTATACACATACAATATAAAATAGCATTAAAAAAGTAATTCAAATATATTATCTAATCATTATAAAATTTTTATAATAAAAATAACTCAAAAAATAAATTTAAAATTACCTCTTTTAAAAATTAATTAGATGACTTTCTATTTCCTTCTCTCTAAATAATTCTATTAATATTTAGGAATAAAGAGGTTAAAACTTAAATTAAAGTGAAGAATTAATGAATTTTGGACTGTATATAAATATCTGATTGGAAAATTAAGTAATTTATTTTGAATTAGTTGACCATGATGAGATGAATGGGTCTTTGTTCCTTCTTTGACTCAAAAAAAAAAATAATAAAAAAAAAATCCATGTCATATGCCAATTTTAGCAGTCCAAAACTCTACATGTATGTACGAATTTTCCTTTTACTGTGCTTCTAGAAGAACAAGAGCGTAAAGTCTTAGACAAGGGGGAGGAACCAACATGTTACTTACATGTGAACTCTAAATGTTATTAAGGATAGGATCATAATATGACGTCATAAATATAAATATAAAATAAAATAAAAAGATGCTAAAATTTTGGTTGATTAAAGAAATATATATACATGCATATGTTCAAAATGTGGGGCTATATAGGGATAACTACTTGACTGGCGTTCCATTTATATGGGCTCTTTCCTTTTCTTTCAAGTGCAAACCAATAACTTCTTAATTACCATGATCAGGTCAGGCCATACATTGCTTCTTCTTCTTCTTCTTCTTCTTCTTAAATATAAATATAAAATAAAATAAAAAGATGCTAAAATTTTGGTTGATTAAAGAAATATATATACATGCATATGTTCAAAATGTGGGGCTATATAGGGATAACTACTTGACTGGCGTTCCATTTATATGGGCTCTTTCCTTTTCTTTCAAGTGCAAACCAATAACTTCTTAATTACCATGATCAGGTCAGGCCATACATTGCTTCTTCTTCTTCTTCTTCTTCTTCTTCTTCTTCTTCAGTAATTATATATGTTTTTCTTTCTTTTTATTGTGTTTTTGTTCATAAGAATTCTGAGGAAAATATTAGAAAATTACATGTTAAACAAGTTACAAGTAGAGTTGCTATGCTATACTATTCAGAAAAGATGTATATGTATATACATATAGTAAAATTTTATTTTTTTTATATTAGATATGGTTTTTTTTTTTTCTAAACTCTAATTTTTGAAGATTAAACTTAAGCCTTAATAAAAAAAACTCAGAAAATGAAAATTGAATGATTTGGTTTTGTTATTAAAATGAACGTCAAGATTGCCTTATCCGTGACTTACATTAAATGGTATTGATGTATGATTGGTAGGGACTGATAAAAAGATGGACTTGGTCAAATTTGAGGTACCGGAAAAATACATACCATTGGAGAATTCAAACTTCAAAAGTAGCAAATAATATGAAAATCCCTTTCTAGAAGACACAATTTTTCAACTTCAACAAATAATAAGTCATTTCATTTCCGTTTGACAGTAAACCATTTTTTCATTTCCACTTTTTATTTCTTCTTTTCTATTCATTTTGTATGGAAAATCATTTATTTCTGTTATATTGTTAGTTTTCTGACTCAGGACTTAGTCACAAGTAATGCTCTTCGTCCCTCCCTATGAGTGCATTTAATGGAGATCAAAATCAAGAGTTATTTTCACATGCCAGCCTGCGTTGCTAACGGAACCACAATCAGTAGATAAAATAATAAAATTTAAAGGTGAATTTATGTTTCAGCCAATAAATTTTACTAAATTTTATAAAATTTTTTTACTTCTTTTCAATTTAGTATGAAAAAATATATATTTAATTCGTATTGATCTAATTTTTAAATTATTACTAAATCAAGTTTTACTATTTGTTAAAATAATTTTTATATTTCATATTTATTTATATCAATTGGGAAAAAGAATTATTAATAGACAAATTATCCTGTGGTGCCTATATTATAATCCAAAATGACAGTAACGGTTTCAATTATTTATATCAAGTCTTGTCATAAAAATATCTCACGCGTGGGGCCATAAGGGTAAGAAGTGTCAAAAACAAAAAAAATATTTGTCGAGAGTTCTAATGAACTTAAATAATACTGTTAATTATATAAGCCAGATAATTTAACTCTTACCTTATTAAATTAGTGAAAAATTTTATAATTAAAATGATTTAAACTCGAAATTTTTCATTCTTTGAATAAGTGAACCAGACACGTGTTTAGAGATGTGAATTTGATGATACACTGTTCAGAAAATTGATATTAGCAAAAAGGTTGAGAAATTGTAAATCATGTCCCATTCAATTCCTAATAGGTTAAAGAACATTAACCGTTGGTGAGGATGGAGTTTTATTGGTAGAGGCCTTGAAAAGATGAGAAAGAGGACAAAGAGAAAAAAGGCATAATCAAAACTCATGAAAACATATCTTGATTATTATATTTATATTAGATTATTTGAATCTAGATATTCTCATTATGAATGGATTCGGGTAGTCCAATCATATTTATTTTAATACTAATAAAAATAAATAGGTAGATAACAAGTAGAGTAATTGTCAATGCAATTACTGTTGTAGGGAAAATTGGCCTGCATGCATGCCCATGGTTTATTGTCTGCCGCCGGCGGAATGATTGATCGTGATGGATCATGGATGTGACAATGTTGATGGAAGCATTTTTGGCCGATACATATAAAAAATAGAGAATCATCTCCTCGAGCTCTAGCAGAATGGTTTTTCCAAAGATTCATCCCTATACTTTCGGTCCTTTTCTTTTCCTGTCAGATTATAGTTTTGGCTCAACCAAACAAAGCCTTCAAATATAGTTAATTGTATCTCTCTATCACTTCTTTTTTTCTTCTTTTTTTTTTTTTTTTTGTTTTGATATCCAATTAAATATTTTTAGATTAATATTAAGATAATATAATTTAGAAAGACCAATCCAACGGCATTCATGGCACGCATCACGCTCAATTATGTATTTAAAAATATTATAAAAATATGAATTCTACATTAAATGTCACACGTGTGGGCCATAAGATCAAGAAAGACTTTGTGTGTCAATTTGATGATACACTAGTATACAGAGAAATAATATTATAGCAATGGGTCTCTACTTCTAGCAAAATGGTTCTTAAACTAAAACCTTGTCGTTTTGCTGCTTTCCTTTCCTCTGAGATGATAGTTTTAGTTCAATCAACTAAAACCTTCAAATACAGTTACATATTACCTCTTAAGAGGGGGAGGATTCAAACATGGAGGTTGCAGTATATGCACTTATCACTAGGGTTTGGTATTTTAGATTAGTATATGCATTATCAAGACAATAGACAAATAAAACCAATATGTATAGCACAATTTATGTACTTTAAAAAAAGAATATGGGCACAGTAACACTGCACATATATCAAACAAGCTGCTCAAGCTTAGAACCTAATTTCCAAGCATATAGAAACAAATGACACTTGTTATTTACACATCTTTAATTTATTAACTTAAGTGTGAAAACCTGCCTTCACTCTTTCAAACAATTTCATATAAAAGTAACAAACTTCAACCTAATTAAGGGGGAAAAACAACAGAGTTCTCCAGAAAGCTATACTTTACAGACTAAACATCCATGACGCAAGAAAAACCTTGTATGCTCATCAGTTGGAAAAAATTCACATGGCGGGATGATCTTCCTCAACGATGGTCTTGAGCACACCATATATGATACAATATTAGCCTTTACATTATCACACCACTTCAAATTTATCTCCCTCAATCGCGTACAGTTTTGTACTACTTCTTTCACTCCTTTTGCTGTCACATTCAAGCAACCCTCCAAGTTCAAATGCGACAACCTCTGGCATCTCTTTGCAATAATGGCCAAAGCTTCATCGTCGATTGCCGGTCCTTGCACTTGCAAAACCTCCAACTTAGGAACTTTAAAGTTTATATCGAGATTCTTTATCCCCGTGCATCTGTTCATCTCCAAATTCCTAATCTCACTGCAATTTTTCAAAACTTCTTTGACCCCTTCTTCAGTAATAGTAGGGCAGTAGCTAATTTCAAGTAGTTGTAGATGAGGACAGCATAACGCAATATTTTTTAGACATTCATCACTTAAACTGTTATTTCCAGTCAATTTTAGAGATCTAATTCGGGGATTGATCACCAAATCTGTCGAAAATTCTTCCACCCCCAAGTTTGTTCTCTCCATTTTGACATCTTCCAAGCAATATTTTTTAGACATTCATCACTTAAACTGTTATTTCCAGTCAATTTTAGAGATCTAATTCGGGGATTGATCACCAAATCTGTCGAAAATTCTTCCACCCCCAAGTTTGTTCTCTCCATTTTGACATCTTCCAACAAGGGGCAGTTCTTTATAAGCGCAAACAAGGACAGACTAGTGAGCTTAGAACATAAACTAAGGTTTATAATGGACAAGTTACCAAGTAACTTCGACAACTCAATAATGGATTCATCGGTGAGAAAATTTGCCCCTTCAAGATCTAAGTACACAAGAAACTGACACCTATATAATAAACAAGAAATTCCAACAGCTGTAAAATTATAGCATTGAGAGATAGTCAGCTTCTTCAATGGAAGACAAGCTTCTCCAATCAAACATAGGAATTCATTGGAGATAAATGAATTAGAGACATGAAGCTCACATAAAGTCTTAGCATAACTAAATGATTCTTGAAAAAACGAATCTATATAAGGGATTCCAAGACTATCCAAAGAAATAGAACACAAATTACCACAATTGCGCATAATGACACTAATACCATTCTGGGTTAAGAAATCACAATCAAGAATCACAACCTCTCTTAATAAAGCGCAATTCGATGATAAAGACTGAAGAGATTTATCAGTAATGAAATGATTACCAGAAAGGTTAATCTTACACAGCCTATTCAGCTTCATCGCCAAATCAAAAATCCCTTCATCTGTTACAACCCCAGAAAAAGATGCCAAAGCCAAAGACCCATTTGGATTGAAACGAGAATAATACTGAGGAAAACTGATATCAAGGTCTTCAAGCAATGGAAAAGAATTCCCGATTACAAATAAATCACTATCTTGTAAAGATACAACCTTTGAGCAATTCAACTTTCTCAAATTCCTCATCCTCAATCCTAATTCTCTCACACCCATTAAAGGAAACAGGTTCTGTTTTGAGAAACTTAGGGTTTCGAGGTCTAACCCAGATTTAGAGATTTGATAAAGAAGGGAAAGGGAATTGAGGTCCGCCCTCGAAATTCACGAATTCATTCCTTTCAGATTCCGGAATCTACTGAGAAGACAGGGAGGAAAACGAATACCTGCAAGAAGAGATTTTAAGGTACCCGGCGGAGCTGATCGGTTGATTGAGAGGAATCGTTGTGGAGGACTAAAGAAAGGGATTTCGAAATAACGTTCGAAATAACGATGATGATCGAGCGAATTAAAAATCAATTCCCAGCATTCTTGGGGCAAATCCACGGATTTCTCTGCCATGTACTCGTTTGAAATTGAAATTGAGAATTTAGAAGAGAGAAAGAGAAAAAACAGAAAATTGGGAGGCGCACTGGCGGAGAGGGAGAGCAAGTGGAGAGTAGTGGATGTTTGTGCGTGCGTGGGCTCTACATCCTAACGGGTAACGGCTTTGATCTCAATTTGATCTAGATTCGTTAATCTGACTATTTCTGGATTCAAAAATTCAAATCAGATGAAGAAAAGGAATCATCAAGGAATCTTTTTTTTTTTTTTTTTTTTTTTTTTTTCAATTTAGTGTATTTTCATTTGCAGATTAATGTTTTTACTAGGCTTTATGCGAACCTTTTTTTTTTCAAATTACTTTTTTTTTTCAATTAATTGTTTGGTAAATGCATCGTAATAATATTTTAATATTTTAACAATATTTTTTTATTTTATTAAAAGTTAAATAAGTCTTAAATAATATTAAGAAGTATATAACAAGAATAATCCTTCAATTTCAATAATTTTCACCAAATAAATGAATTATAATTAGCGAGATTCAAATATAAAAACTTGTATTTCCATCATAAGTATATATTTATATATAGGGATGACAGTGAAATTCTGTATTTATAAATTTTCAAATCCATGTAATTTAAATGATTACGATACTTGCAAAATTTAATACAAATTTAAAGTCAATACACTTTACAAAATCCAGATCAACAATTGTTTTTTCTTTTTTCTTTTTCCCTTTAAATTATTTATTTGCAGCAAGTAATAATAAGTTCAATTCAGTTTCAGGGCTCATTATATATATATAGTTTTAACTGATTCAAATTATAGTTTTAATAAATATCGCTATAACAATTTGCACATTGCAAGTGAAGAATTATGATTTAAATTTAATCATTATAAACTAGTTCAGAGGTTAAATTTGTTGAAAATGTCAAATATGACTTTTTTCTATTTTAATCCTATCAACAAATATGCAGGTTCAGGAATCAAATTAGCTGAAAATGTCAAATATGATTTTTTTTTTAATATCTCTAAACAAAATTTAGTCATCATTCTATTCCTATCAACAAAAAAAAAAATATATATTAGTTTATGTTGTCGAAGGGAAATTGCATGTTTAGATTAATAAATTATAGGAAATAGCCATTGTCAATTAATTGGTTTTCCAATTTTAAAAGTAGTGTGTAAATGGTTAATATGGAAATTGTCAAAACTTGAGAGAAATATATATTTTTCCAACTTATACTTTGCTTTAGCTGTCATTCAATGACTGTGGGATGTTTAGTTATACTTTGCTACGTAGTAATTAAAGGAGAAAAAAAAGAAAGTAAATCTCAAAATAAAATAGAGAAAAGCTTATTTTAGGGTGAAAATAACAGACAGAAAAAAAAGTCACTTTGTAACAAACAGTTTTACAATACACCAAAGAAAGAGGCTTAATTATAAAACATAATTAGGAGATTAAATCACCGGGACGACTCTCCCGGATCGTCAACCACGTGTCACCAGGTCCACCTTTTCTTGAATCACGCGGAGGCACTCGAGATTAGCTGTTTACCCCATTTGTTTTTAGCAAATTCAAGTCAAGGGTTTGAACTTTGATCCAGTGAAAAAAAAAAAGACATGTGATAATTCTGAATTTAAACTGTTTTTTCACAAAATGACTCAAAAGACTCAGTTCTATCATGGTTTTACTTCCAAATTCTAAACTTAACACCAATTTTATATTGGTAAAATTAATTTTAAATGATGGAATTGATACTCACTTACCGCATAATCTTTAACAGACATGAAAAAAATTAATCACATCACACTTAATTGACATTTTTAATTTAAATATTACATTAAAAATATTTATAATTACATTACATTATGTTTTATTACCAACATTAGCTTAATATTTATATATATTATTTATTATATTATATATAAAGAGATAGATTTAGATTATAAAATCATTTCAAAAAACAAATCTTTATTTCCATGGATGGATTTATAGATTAAGTCTTGGAATCTAAAATATTCATTTGAATAGGAAAAATTTATTGTCTATGTACACTTGGGGCCACGCCAATAAATTTTTTTTTTTTTTAAAGAAAGTTACTGTTTTGTGCTTTTGTTCCTTGGTATACACTAAAAAATACATTTGTTTGAACCAAAATACTAGTTATAATTTGCTTGGTTTATAAGTGGATCTATATACCGGGTGTAGGTAAGTTTTTTCCTCAATTATATTTTATCTCTTTTTTTTTTTTTTCTCATTGCATAGTGAAAAACAACTTTATTTCAATAAATACTTATATATTCATAGACTTGATCTAGACAAGTCCATCTATCTAATATAATTAACAAGTTTGAATTATACGGACATTCAATCATGTTTTTCAATATCATAAACAAAATTGAAGTAACTGATACATATGCTAAATTAATTAAAAATAATTTTTTAATTCAAACGTAGGTAATTCTAACCATTTATTGGGAGAAAAAAAATAGTAATAATTTTTTAAAAAATTCTCCTAAAGTAACTATCAGGCTAGCTTGCATTGACCGTTGGGTGTGTACTCAAAGTTCTAAAGTCAACAAACTTAACATCATATTGCAATATTTCAACAAAAACTGATCTCTAGTTAAGGCCCAATGCTTGAAACTTTTAGAGTATATAATGGTGATGAAGGAATTGATATGCCGTGATTACTCCTCTTTTAATAGAAGAAAGTAATTGAAATGGCTAAAATGGCTTCCTATGCGATTTTAATAGAAGAAAGTAATTGAAATGGCTAAAATGGCTTCCTATGCGACCTCAATCATTTTCCTCATTTTGTTTGCATCTTATAATACTGCTATTGCTCGAACAACTCGAGTCCCCAAAGCCAGTAAGGCCCTCTTTTCTTTCTTCTACTTCTAGTTCTAGTTCTAGTTCTAGTAATAATACTGATATTTCCGTTTTGATGTAAAGATACTAAATATTCAAACCATCAATTTCTTATTTAGTGGTAGTTGCAGATGAAAATAAAGAGAACCTAAGGGTTACTGGAGAAAGTAAAACTGGAGTGGGCGATCGTGGTTCATCCGGTGGCGGACCAGGTGGCGGTGGGTGATATTTTATCATACATATAGAAAATAAGTGCACACGGTTTACAAGTTCCAAATTACAAATTTATGTTTGTCTCGTGTATGACTATATATATATATACATAAGCAATTGAAAATAAAGTGAGATAGATAATTAAATATATTTTGTCAAAATTATCATGATCTTGATAAAGGGTGTGTTTTATTGTATCTCTTCTGGTCTCATTTGTTATAATGTGAACTTTACTTGCATAGAAAATTTTTCAAAAAATAATGTTCTCTGGTCAACTCTTACAAATGATATATCTATAAAAACATATAAAAAATACATACATTGTGAATATGTGGGAGCAATAATATATCCATAACGGTAATATTCTTAATCAATTGTAAAAAAGAAATGATTGGAAAATCATTGTTAAATCATTGTTAGTGAATATTTCAATTCCAAAAAATAGGCAAAATTATCAAGAAAGTGAGAAATGTACAAATAGTTGAGCATCATATGAAATAGTCCACCTTATGATGCACGGACACGGAAACGGAAAAACAGGGAAATACGGAAACGGACACGGGAAATGACATTTTCAAAAATATAAGAAATAGAAATGTAGGAAAATGCGTAAATATAAAAAATATAGGGGTTTATTTGTAAAATTTAAAAATATAGGAATAAATATAAAAATAATTTAGAAAGAGTACGTTTAAAATTTTTAAAGGACAATTAACCACAGATAAAGTTTTCTAAAATTAAATTATTATATCATATCCCAAAGAAAGAAAAAAAAATGTTTATAAGTTCCATACTTAATAAAGAAAAAAGAAAACAAAATATTCGAATGTAAAAATGAAAAAAAATAATGAAATTCTGTTAAATTTGAAGTTTGAATATTTAAATTAGAAATAAGATTATTTGTCCTTTGCCAAATATGTTTTGCAAATCATCCAAATTTGATTTGGATTATAATTTTTTCCTTTAATGCAAGAAACATTTCCGAGGAGGGAGAAAAAAGGAGTCAAATTTTCAATATTTAATGAAACAGTTCGATAACGTTTCTAAAGCCATTTCTGTTTCCGAAAGCGAAAAACATCAAGCCTTTCGCGTGTTCGTGTATTTACAGCAGTCAAACATTCATATTATAATGTCAATAGTTAAGGAAAATCTAAAAAATTCAATTTAAGGCTAGCCACAGGGGAAATGACAGCATGTAAGAGAAGGAAGAAAAACTAAATACCATATGTTTCATTAGTTTATAGTAAATCTGCTTTAATTCTAATATATTTGTGGGAGCCTCTTCGATAATATTATTGCATTTTTTTGAATTTGTTATTGTTTTTTTTTTTTTTTTGGAAAGAACAACGTTAAATACTCTTGGACTAATCTCTCTTGAGAGTATTTGTGCATGCATGCATGCATATATAATCTATATCAATCTTAATTACTGATGTCCATTGTATTTTTATTATAAAGTTTAGCATGTTTAACGTTCTCTAAGTTATAAACTGAAAATTTTATTCACATAATAAATTATCCTAATTAAATGATTTAAAAAATAATTCTATTTAAAAAACCATTTCTCTTGCCTTGTTTAAAAAAAAAAAAAAAAAAAAAAAATCTCCTACCAACTCAGCGCTTCAACTGTCAGCAAATTTACTTTGTATTTTATATATTCAGTA